ACTAGGACTCTGAGATCCCTCTCACAGTTACTACTATTGAGCAAGGAACCCCCTTTACTATACCTGTACATTTGGTTTTTCTTGCCTAAATGTAGAACCTTACTTTTTTCACCATTGAATTTCATTTTGTTAGATAGCGCCCAGTGTTGAAGTCTGTCCAGATCCTCCTGTATCCTAAGCCTGTCTACTGGAGTGTTGGCTATTCCTGCCAGCTTGGTGTCGTCTGCAAATTTGATGAGTTCCCCATCTATCCCCTTGTCCAGATTGTTGATGAAGATGTTGAAGAGCACTGGGCCCAGAACAGAGCCCTGGGACACCCCACTACACACTTCCCTCCATGTAGATGCGGTTCCATTGAGGACCACACGCTGAGTACGGCCGGTCAGCCAGCTACGGATCCATCTGGTGGTGATGCTGTCTAACCCGCATTTTTCTATCTTATCAAGTAGTAGGTTGTGATCTACTTTGTCAAATGCCTTACTGAAGTCCAAGTAAATTATATCCACAGCATTCCTCTGGTTCACTAATTTTGTCACTTGGTCAAAGAATGCAATAAGATTTGGCATGATCTGTTTTTGACAAACCCGTGTTGGCTTTTAGTAATGACTTTGTTTGCCTGTAGGTGTTCGCTGATTCGTTGTTTGATTAAAGCTGCTTTAATTTAAAGACTTGAGTATAGCTGAAGTAATAAATATGCAATACTTTGTTTCTATCCTAGACTTTTTAAACTACAATTTCCAGTTGTAAATATACCAGGAAACTATGTTTTTAAATTGTTTTTTTTTTTAAGCAGGATATAAAGCAATCCTAAAAATGATAATTATCTGCTTAGGAAGCGATGATGTTGTTTAAAAAGACCAAGACTGAAGCACTGAAGCAGAGCTTTGTAAAAAAATATATATAAATAATTCTCTTCCATTTTTCCAAAAAAATATTAAAATGTATTTTATTAATCCAAATTATTTTAATTTGTTCCGACTTAAAAATGCCAATCTGAATAAGATGGACTTGGAAGATTATTTTAAAAGAAAGCAAAGAGTTCACAATAAATTCCTTTAATAAAATATTGTATGGTTTAGATCACCAATTTTTTTTCTTATCCCCACGAACTGCATTTCTCCTGGGAAATAGACAGCGAAACTGAAGATTATCATCATAAAATAAGACAAGGAAGTGATAAATAAATGGTTTGCATACTAGGCCCAACACCAGAGCAATATGGATGGCTATTTTTACTGTTGATTTCTCTTATATTAACTCACACATTTTTCACAATCAGCTATGAATGAACCTAAAAATGAATAATCATGCAATTTAATTATAACAAGAACTAACCTCACAATTTCTTTGCTTCCTTATTCTTCAAAAACATAGCATCCCAATATGTACTACTCAGTATACTTAAACTTGATTATGTGTCATCAAGTCATTTTTTACTCCTAGCGACCACATAGATTTTCTCCATGATTGTTTATTCTTAACTTGTTCCTTCAGTTCTTCCAACGGTGCACTCATTGTTAGTCTATATAATCCACTAAAATAATAACCACCACCCCTGAATAAATCCAATGCTTTTATTGGAAGTTAGTAATTCTCAAAGAATTTCTACTACAGTATGTGAATTGTACAAGAAATCTCTACTTCAGTTTAGGGGGGGGGAATGAAAGCAGACCTAATTTTAGTAATTGTTAGTTGATCTGTCCCTTGTTCTTCAAATTTTGAAACATAGCCAATGTGTCATCTGTTTTTAGAAAAAACAGTTCTATCCTAACAAACAAAGCACTTTCATGGAACTGCAGCCAAAATAATTTCTAAGTGAAACAGTACCCTCCCACCCAAAATGAACAAAGAAAATGTAGAAACATACAGAGTCCAATTTTACAACTTTCTCTCCCAGTTTTGTTAATCCAGTATAGTTCAAGTCATCTAATTAAACAGTTGTCTTTAATTATAAATATGGTATAGCTATCTGCAGCATGTGTTCATGATAATGCTACCATTTTCTAAGCAGAATGTAGCAAGATAAGCTGGGTATTTCATATCTTGAGACCTTAGCATTCTTTCATTTCAGTGCTCATCTGCATTCTCATTAGTATGCATGAGATTTTCATTGAACTTTAAGACTACTAGTGGCATATAGCGCATTGTAATAAGCATAAAAGTGGGCATGCAAATTAAAACTCCGATTAATCACTAAATGTTACTCATTAAACAAAGAGGGACCAACTTGAACACAGACTGTAAAATACAGTATGAAAAACACAAATGCTTATATCTTCAAACACATTGAAAGTCACTATATTTTTCATAAAGACTAACAATATGGAAAATGGATATAGCACCTTCTATCTTCAGATACAATCAACACCCACTGAGAATTAAAGTAAATGTAAAGGTTATGACCACTTTCTATACCAAAAAAAAATGCCTTGCAATTTCTCTTAAAAAGAAACCTAGGTAAAGTAAATATGGATGTTCCCTAGATATGTAAGTAAAAGCATTCCTAATCCTCTGTTGTTATGTTCCTGGTCTGAATAAGGAATACTCACGTTCAAACTTCTGATGGGAATTGGGAGTTTTGTAGGGGTTGGGCAAAAACCATCAGCTTATTTTTACTTGAGAGTGTTGGTAAAATATACCCACATTTTATAGCACATATACAAGGAAAATACAAAAATACAAAGTAATAATAATCATCAATTGAAGTAAACATCCTATGTTAATTTCTGTTCATCCCAAGCAGAAAGATGAATCCTATAGTCTTTCAAGAATTCAGTACTGTGGTTGGCTATTATCTATCAAGAAAGTCTTGCTATGTATGAGCAACAATGCAGTCATACTGTTTAAATGTATTCTTTCCCATCTTTACAGAATATGAATAAGGAGAAGGAAAAGAGTTTCTAATAATATTATATTTCAAGCTTTACTGGGCAAAATGTGCATGAAAAAATCTGTAAAATAGTTATAAAATGCTACCTCATTCTGAGAAACACCGAAACTCAAGCTTTCTGCATCAGGTCTAACCTGTGAACTACTAATATTCTATTCTATGGTTATTTTATTTTATTTTATTTTATTTTATGGCACGTTATATGTTATGACTTGTGGTTACAGTACAACTATAAACTTAGTTATTTACTTAGTAATGGGAATCCTCTGGCCTGTAAATTAAATGCTGCTTAAAAGGTCTCCTATCATAATTAAGCTTGAGAAAAGTCTTCTAAACTAATCAATTGAAGGGAATGTTTGCAAATTTTTTGTTTGTACATAGTGTGTCTGTACTAGATATGAAATATGCCCCCAGATTATTCCTTCAATTTATAGCATGCTTTTCTATTCATTAAATTCTCAAGATGCTTACGCCATTAAAGAAATACACAAAAATTAAAAAGAATTTCATCCATAAACATGTGCAACCACAGGTTCCTGTAATATATGTTATATGCAAAAAGGTGAAACTCTGTAATGCATGTAAACTGTAATGGACACTCCACATTCGGAAGAATGGAAAAAGATAAATTCCTACAGTTTTATAAAGGGAAGCTTTTTTAAAACTGGAACAAATATCTTCATTTATTGGAACTGAGGTAGTGAAATAATGTTTTGAACACAAAGTTATATAAATGCTGAAGCCATTAAAACCCAAACTTCTCTTACAGGAGAAGCAAAATGTGGTCTTCAATTTTTTTACAACACAGTCTCTAAACTGAAACATTTAGCAGTTGAAATGTTAAGTAAAAAAATCTAGTTAAAGTTGCTCTTCGTGTTTAAGCACCTGGGTTCTTATCTGTTCTCTTTGTCACAAACAAAAATATATTGCACACCTTCTTTGTCTAAATAATGGAAGTGAAAACAAAGCACTCTGAACATTTTCTCCACGTTCCTTAAAAGGAGTTGTATTTAAAGAAAAAAAGAGACTACAGCTTATTCATAACACTTTATTTCTATGCTCTTCACAAATCCTTCCAATTCAGTGCCGCAATAATCACAAAGGAGAGAAAATGCTATAGTGATTATAAGGATGCTTAAGTGTTGTGTTAAAAATGCAAATGCAACTAAAAGTATATCTTGCCACACATAGTTTATTTCCTAAATAATAAGAATCTTAGTGTCATGGTTCCGACAGATGAAACTCTTCAAAAGAACTTTGAGGCATTGTTTACCTTAAAGAATCTTTTATTCGAGAAACAAAGTATCGGCACTACATAGTTAAAGCCAAAAACTGAGTTCCCCTCCCCTGGGCACAAAATTGCAAAGCACAATTCCCTCCACCAATTAACTGTCATAAATCATATTCCCCAATTAGCTTGAAGCATGGGCTTTCTCCCCAGTTCTCCAGCCCGCCAAATCTTTATCAACTCTGGGCGCAATAACCTTGGATTCCCACGGCTGAGTTATTATTGTTATGACTAACTGGACTCTCATCCACATCCCCCCTCCTAGCATCAACTAACTCTAAAAGCGAAAGAGAAAAGATAGCTACATTTCCATCTGTTGTCAAAGCAAGAATGTCCGATGTTAGCAGCGTTGACACTTAGATGTGCAAACATATCCTAATCTTAGGAAAATCGTCTAAAAAGATGTTTAGCTTACATGCATACTTGTCAAGAGCCATTCAATCAAAACTGCTTTTCTTACTTCAAAATGTACTCAAAAATGTGCATTTTTCTATCCAACTTTCAGACATTACATTAACTTGTTTTAAAGTAAAGCCAATACTTTAGAACTGAGTTTGAATCTAGGCTTATGGATCATGTTCATACCTCTCTGCAAGTTCCATTTTTCGGGGGGGGGGGATATCTATTAAAATGGTATAGCTCTGTACAAGAGAAATGATGTCTGGACAAACTGAAGAGACAAATGTCAAGAAAGACAAAGTCATGCCCTCTTAAGAATTCTTATGTTAGTAAGGGTGAGGCTAGAAATGTTGTCTTGTGTCTTTTCTGTACAACCTGGGAGAGATGGAGGTCAGTAAGCCAACAATGCCAATAAAGTCTTACCTTCCCACTGGGTTGGAATGGCTCCAGATTCATACTGGTATTCTTTTAGATCCACAGCTTTCACAATTCTTCTCTCTTTAATGTTCTGACCTGTTTCAAGGGGGAGAAATTGTGGATTATTTAGAATGATTCCATATATTTTCTTCAGTGTTGGAACTGATATAGAAATACTTTTATAGTATTTTTCCAATAACTTGAGTATCATAGCATGAAATAGTATATACCATGTTTCCCAGAAAGTAAGCCCTACCCCAAAAATAAGCCCTAGTTTGGGGGCAAGGCACACACCTAAAAATCAAGCTAGGGCAGGGGTGGGGGGTGGAGCTGCCCCACGCATCCTGCACCCACTTATCTTGCAGCCAGGCCTCTCCTGACAGGCCCACTTCTTCTGCGGCGTCTTCTGCAGCCAGGCCTGCATTTCTCAGCACAGGCCTTTCCGGAAGGCCACTGCAGTTGAGAACCGAACTCGGTTCTCGGCTGAAGTGGCCTTCCGGAAAGGCCTGACTGCAAAATGCAAGCTGAAGTTCCATTCCCAGCTGCAGAATGAAGCTGCTCCTTCGGCCACAGAAGTGGGCCAGCTGGGCAAGGCTGTTGGTGCCGGACATGAGTATAAAAGACCCCCCCCCAAAAAATAAGACCTGGTGCCTCTTTTGGAGGCAAAAAAAATAAGACCCGATCTTATTTTCAGGGGAAAACGGTACATACATATACTATGTATATACACTATACATAGTTCAATGGTATCTTGGTAATCAACTGCTTTGAAACTCATCAAATTTGGTGTTCAATGCATTTTTATGCAAAACGTTTGTCCTAGTACTCATTGTTTGTTTGGTATCAACGCACAAGTTAGAACTTGTCAGTGTTGATTGCCTTGTGACTCACATTATTATTATTATTATTATTATTATTATTATTATTATTATTATTATTACTACTACTACTACTACTACTACTACTATTACTATTATTATTATTATTTCTTATGGGAAAATATATTTGATTCTCATCATTTCTGGTACCCATCATGCCTCCCAGAATCAATTAATGCCTTGAGTACCAAGGTACCACTGTATAGTGAAATGTGGATCCGCTTCTATGACAAATATAATGAGGGTGGCTGCTAGACTCTCTTCCTTCTTTATAGAATAGGCAATCTATTTTCTCCCCAGATCAGTATAAAACAATTTTATATAATGGGGAGTTATGGGTGGGAATAAAAATGGGTGTGTAAAACTACCTCTGCAAGTGCAAAGTACAAATTCTCTTATCCTTAATCTGAAAAATCAGGCCCAAATTAAATCATCTTGAGGTATTTAGAAGCTGCAAATAGTTTGTTGTAAAGCACTACAAATGAGGTCTCCGTGATGCTCATACTTCTTTAAAACTAGTATTTATTTGCTGATTGATTGATTGATTGGGAACATCAACATCAACAAAAATAGTAAAGAAGATTACATGGGAAGAAAACTATAGAGGCAAAGGCATTGTAGCCAGCTGGTACTGTTTGAAAAGAGCATTAAAGATAGGGCAATAATACAATAACAAAACTATACATATAAAGAATAGGCATCTCATAACCGAGATGAAGAGAAAGAAGAATACTGATTGGAAATGGAAAGAAGGGCTAATGACTAAGGAAAGTCTACAAATTAATAGTTGACAAATATAAGGATGAAGGCAGAAAGCAAAGATAGGGGAAACCAGATTCACTTAACAACCATGTTATTAACTTAACAACTGCAGTGATTCACTTAACAGCTGTGGAAACAAAGATTGTAAAATGGGGCAAAATTCAGTTAACAAATATCTCACTTAGCAACAGAAATATTGGGCTCAATTGTGGTCATAAGTCGAGGACTACCTGTAACTTCTTGTTATGCATGAATATACATGTACTTTTGATAAAGAATGAAATCTAATTCCTGTATCCTAAAATGTCTTGAGATACATAGTTTTTGGAAAGATTGAAATGAAGGAAGTTGTTTTCTCTTAAGTATAGCAACTACAATATTATAGCCACACTAATGCCTAATACCTAATAAAACATTTGCAAACATTTTCCTTTTCCTCTATAGAAACCAGTTTGTAAATGTTATTTCAAAGCATGAATAAATCTGTACAATTAGTTTTATTTCACTAATTGCTTTATTAGTATTTGAACATCAAAGTAACCTCTTTTTTGTTTACAGGTTTTAAATAAGCTTCCCCTTCAGCTTCCCTGAAAACCAATTTCAGAGCTGAAAGGAAGACGATGGGGGTAAGAAAAGGAAGATGATGGGGGGGGCACCATGGGAGGGGGGGGAAGAAAGGATTCCTATGAAGATGGCCTACTTTTGTGTGAGTATAACATTCATCTTCAAACACAGGACATTATTATAAAATAAGATTATCTGTATGACAAATTCTCTATAATTACCTGCAAATGCTTCCTTTTTTTTTTCTAAGGTGAGAATGGTTCTGATTTGTGGCTGCATTTAGCATATCCTGCAGATGACTAAACATATATTTAGATATCAGCTCTAGATAGTTTTAGTTCAAATCAATGGGGGGGGGGGAGGAAAGAAATAATTCCCTTCTGGCTGCCTATATTTTTCGTTTAATCCTGGTCTGTGTAAGACCTTATTACAAGTAATTTGTCATTATAACTCTGAAGAAAAATGCTAGCCTCACATTTTTTGTCATTTCCCCCCCAACACTTCCCTTCAGGCTGCTACTGTTGATGGGCTTTATGGAAATATAAATTCAATCAGCAGCTGCAAATTTCATGAGCCGTCCATCTTCATGCTGAATTTGTAACTGGGTGTCAAAACAATCTGTGAATTCCTCCCTGATGAAACACACATTGAATTGTAAATTTCTGCAATTTTCTCATGTTTGAATTTAAAGGGCACTAAAATAGAAGTAGCTCATAGAAAGCATCTATCAGTTTAAGACAGGTAATTTCTTTCATTACTTCTTCATAGCTTTCAAGGAGTTAAATCATAAGAACCAGTGAACGTGACAAAATTGAACTATATAGTATTTTTAATATATGCAGAAATAAAATAAAAGATTAAAAAGCTTTCAAATAAGCTTTTTAATCTATTCTAGTTTCATTTTACACAATCCTGCAACAATAAAAAATGAAAAATTAAAAGATTCAGTAATGCCAACATAATCCAATATTTGGGTTTTTAAAAATTCTGGTAAAGATAATAATAGCAGCTATCTCTATCCCCTTGATATAAATTTTACTCAATTAAATATTGGTAGAAAAGAAAATAATACATAGTACTTTAAATTGCTAAAAGAAAAGGACAATTGGCTCAAAGTTGTAATTCATACAGTTTTCTATTCAAGTTGCATTTTCTCTGGGGTAGGCAACCTTCGCTCTTTTATGACTTTTATGCTGGCTCAGGAATTCTGGGAGTTGAAGTCCACGAGTCATAAAAGAGCCCAAGGATACCTACCCCTGCACTAGCTTATAAAATGTGCAAAAGACACAGAATACTACATTGTGAAAGGTTTTATTTTATAAATGAATTTTCCTCTATTGAAGTTAATGCCAAAATATTAAGAGCAGTGCATGCCTCTAAAGATAGTTTCAACAAAGCCACTTGATTCTCTCCCCTGCCCTGCTCTTTCTTCACCCAAGCCACTCATCTTTTTTGTTTTTGAAGCAGGGTTGAATGCTGTTCTGATGGGCTCCCAAATGGCACGCTCGCACATCCCTCTGCCAGAAAGTCTCTGCAAATAATACTGTGCTATTTTATAGCATCGACAATTTAAATATAGATCTGGGCACATAGTTAAACTTTCCAAATTCTTTTACTGTTTTCCATTGAACAAAAGATTTCTTTTTAAGTTAGCTTTATTTTTCAACTTTACCCTATTTTTAACATTTTCATCCTATATGACAGCCCACTGTCCCTTTCTGTACCTTATTTCTAAAATTTCTTCCATGAAAATAGTATCACTTTTCCCTATTATTTCAAATCACTCATTCAAACGTCCCATTCCAACCATCTTTTCATTTTTATTTAGTCCCTAAGGACACACTTCTTCTTCTTCTTCTTCTTCTTTTTTTACCTTTTCCCCCTCTGTCTTTTCCAAATATTTTATCTTGGATTATAAATGCCCCAAGTGGACCAACCTATCTTATTATATTGGTTTGTATGACAACATTGTACTGAGTGCACTATAATAAAAGTGATACTCCCTATCTTACTTACATTGAAAACATTAAAACGCATTGGGCGTTCTTTGCCACTACAAAACATCTCATAAATAGGTGAATACCAAAACTCTGTATTTCTTTTTTATTAATACGTGGATACTATCACGTAAGAAAGAATTTATTTGACTTGAGCGTTGTGAACACTATCTGAAACTCTCCAGTTTTTTACAGTTTAGTTTCCTTTGAAATGGAGAAAAATGAACTCAGAGATTTTGAGATGATGCAGTGTTTTTCACATGCAAACGATTCATTGAATGACAGCACTGGTTTGGAAAAATACCTTGATGATCATCTAGCCCAGCGGTTCTCAACCTATGGGTCGCAACCCCATTTGGGGTCGATCGACCATTTCACGGGGGTCGCCAAGCAAGGCTGTCCGCCATTTTTTTCCCCTTTTCCGGCGGGTGCCTTACCTCCCTTGAGCTGGGCCAGCTGGTGGTCGGCCTGCTCCGTCTCTGCCACTTGCCAGCTACACCTCGGCCGGCCCAGGGGGCGGAACCATGCATGCGCGGCGCTCCCGGGCAGGGAAAGTCCTCGACTTACGACCGGTTGGGTAGTCCTCGACTTACGACTGGTTGGGGTCGTGGCATTAAAAAGGTTGAGAACCACTGATCTAGCCCACCCCCTGCCTACATAGTAATCCATTATTACAGCACACACAGCGTTTACTATCCTCTTCAGCCAAATTTCAAAATTCCCACACAGAGAAAATCTGTTTCAATGTTGAATAGGAAAAGTACCATAAGATAATGTCTCGTCTAAGTGAAATCTACTTTCTTGTTTCTTTAAACCATTGTTTCTTATTCCATTTTCTGGAACAACTATGAACAGTTCTCCCTATCTTCTACATCAGGGCTTTTCAACTAGTGAT